TGTTATTTAAAAAAAACATTTTCACCAGGGTTTTTAAAAAATGGAAGATTGTATGCAACGTTTGTGTGCAGCCAAAATTTTTATACTTTTAAAATAAAACAGGATTGAGAGATCCAAACACATAAAACCAAACTTTTCCTATGGTATCTGTAACTATGAAGATTTAATCTAGAAATGTATAGTCCTTAACCCCTGGTGACCTTTCAGTGTGTTAAGATCCATGCACACAAAAATAAATATTTTAGTATAGACAGCTGAGGTTCCAGGCATTTGGAGCAAGACAAAAGAGGATCACTTTTGCTTCAGCTGGGCAGGGAAAACTTTATCAAGGGCTGAGCCAATCTGGGACCAGCACAGAGTGAAAAAGTAAATGATTTATGTCCAAGTTTGTCTTATCACTGACTATAAAGTTTCCTAAGACAAGAGTTGTGTCCCTATGGTAACTAACAAATCATAAGCATCCGCCAGTGCTGGGGCAAGGGCCCCAAGTAGACAACACACGTTTACCTTAGGGTATGCACCTGTAATACAAGGGTCTTATAAAAAAGTTCTGTGATAAGAGGATCAAAGTTGCAGTCCACCTACAGATGTATTAACAAGTTTGGGCTTTTTCCCTGTGCAGTGTACAGTCCCTGAAGGCACTGTCAGAGGAGGAAGGAGGAGGATGGGGCCAGCAGTCCAAGATGGACCAGGTGTGGAAGGAAAATGACAGAAGCAGGGGGGTCAGGAGTCCCACAGGGTCAGAAAATGCTTCCAAATCCCTGAAATGGGCACTCCCAACCTTCCCATGGCTGTGGCGAATATCAGGCGGAGTAAGGAGGGTACAGTACCTACCGGGCTGGCAGGAAACACGCAGAAAAATAATTTGTTATATTCAGTTCTTATTAGGAGAAAAGGAGCCAGAGAACCAGCATGCAGTGCACAGCCACAGTGCAAGTCTCCTGGGGCCTCCTCAACCCTTAGAGAACAGTAATGGCTCTCTCTAGGACTTATTCCTTAGTTCTCCGGAACTTAATGCATCAACACTGTAGATTCAACATACAAAGAAGAGATGCCTGGTATTGTTTTCAAACTCCAAATGCCCGAAATCAATTTTAAGTTGCTTTAGTATAAAAGTAACTATAAAAGCTAACACCAGCGAGTTTTAAACAACTGAATTTAATGGATCCAGCTATAAATTCAGGAAAGCCATTTTCATCTTGAAAACATCAATGCTTTTCTAATTAAGGACAGAATTGCTGACATAAAAGACTCAAAGAAATAAGAAATAACTCCTTTTATTCATAAATGAAAAGGCTTGATAGCACAGTGAATTGTTTTGAGATTCAGATTATTAGAAATTGTCAAGAATCTAAACGAGAGCTGTTCCACTTGATATAAGGGCTCATGGACAAAATTCTGGGCTCCAGCTTCTTAAATTCCCTTTTCTAGTTCTTACTACCACTTACACACTCCTGTGTCTAGTGTCATTACACAGATATGACAGTAACAGCACTGCATCTGACTCAGGAGCTAGGGATCCAGCTGAGGGCCCTGTGCATGTCAGACAAGCGCTCTCTCTATCAATGACCTACGCTTCC